GCCGCCGCTCTTCTTCGACTTCTTCGAACCCCTCTTCTCGTCCTTCCTCAACGTTGTCATCGTGCCAATCTCGATGTGTATCCTCGCGCATACGCTCGATCGTCCTTCTCGCCGAAGGGAGTCAAAGAGAACGTCCGTCCACTCGAAAGATTCCTCCGCGGACGAATACGAATTCGCTGTTCGTCGAAAGGATTCATCGGCCGGCCGAAATCGGCCTTGCCNCCATCGAGCCAATAGTCGTGGACAAAGCGACTCCGCCGAATGGACGAATCGGTCGAGGCAACGCTGCGGATGAACCGGATGAACGGAACGAGCCTGGTGCGCTTTCGAGCGGACAATTAAACGGTTTTCGCCGATTATTTCCAAATTTCTCCGGCCGCCAGCAGCCCGTGGCTGAGCTGTCACATCGGTGACGCGATCAATAGAACGGTGTTACGGCTGCTAGTCGATCGTCCAATTGTTGTTGTTGTTGTTGCCAGGCCCACGTGAAAGATCGTTCCATCACGGACGCCGTTTTATTGTTCCGGGTGTCGATCGAGTAAATCGTCGGCAAACAATGTACGAACTTTCGTGGCAAATGGCCTGTTCCCGGCCCCCCCTACCCTCTCCCCCTTCCACCAGTTTATTCGTCGCTCTCTTTCTCGGGCTTGCTCGCCCTTGAATCACGTTCGACAAATGGCAAGTAGAAATTTAACGCTGAAATCATCGATCGGTGAAATCGGTGGCTGAATATCGATCGAAATGGTACAGAAGTGTGTTTGAAAGAGATTCGTGCGCGTTTGAGTGATTTGTTTCTTTTTTTTTTTTTCTTAGTTATCGATAATTAACGCGAAAAAATATCACTACAGAGTATATCAGAAATTTTTTCTTAAAAATTAATGTTAATTGTTTTTCATTACTCTCTATATCTAGAATGAAATTAGGACAAATTTACAGGATGATGATTGAATTTATATTCATTTCAAACGATAATCTCATTGGGTGAAATACGCATTATTTGGTTTGAAGTTAAAGATATATAGAAGTCGATCGCAGATAAGGGGATATCTTTATCAATAGTAGTTATAGTTCGATTAATCCGTTGTCGATTTTATAATCAAGTTATATCAGAGTTTTTAATACGAATTAATGAGTTCCGTTAGTGAATCGTGTCGTATTAATCACGTAATTATTTACCTGACCCTATTTCTATATCGATAAATCTATAATTAATTAACGAAATACATACTTTCTTTCATTATCTTTCCTTCTCATTTGCACACACACAGACACACTTAAACACCAAGCCTTATGCACACAAGAATTGCACTTATTTTTCTTTTCGTTTCCTTTCCCTATTGTTGAATTTTCCCCAGTTATACGGCCACGGTCGTTGCAGTTAAGAAACGCATTTAACTTTTCTAGCTATCAGCGTATTTTTTCTTATCGCGTTTTCTTCCTTATCATCATATACCGACATAAATTAACCGAACTTATCAGGTCGAATCGTTTTCCCGAGGAGAGACGGAAAAATTTCGCGAGTTCTTTTTTCGTTCGGATAAAAAAAATTTCCAATTCCAAAAAAGAAAAATTCACGAAATATTCTATTAATCCCACGTTAACAAATTCCAAATTTCTGTTAATCGATCCCCTCGAATAATCGATCCAATTTGAATTAAAGAAATTAAAATTATCGACGAGTTTTTTGGCCTCGAGGGGGAACAAAATTTTCAACCGGTAGAACAATGGTTCGAGCGAGGATGCACGCGCACGATCGGTTTTCGTCACCGGCAATTAACGCTATCGTAATGGTAATGGCGTATTACAATGTTATCATCGATTTACGAGGGACGTCACGAGTAATAATACGTTTGCGCGTCGATATATCACCGTAAAAATGCAACACTTAAGAACGATTAACGCCCCACTACAGCATGAAAGCGTGTACGACTCAAAGTGCCAATAATTTTTCTCACTCTATCATTGCATCGAAACAACGATCGGCGTAAAAAAAAAAAAAAAAAATTGCAAAGAAAAATAAGGAAATGTCGTTATCTTCCCGCTATGCGAAGACGGAATCATTGATCAAAAAAAGCGATAAGCGACGACGAGTCGGTTAAAAATAGATATAAATCGAGCAAGGAGGGAGGGGGGCAATCGACGAAACTCGGTATCAAACGCGGAACGTTCCCGCGGTTTTAAGGCTGGCCTTAAAATTTGCACTAGTTTAATCGATGCACCACGTAACATGCGTTGCCACGTTCGTGAATGCACCGATAAGGTTGCTCAAGGTGGCGCAAAGTTCATTAGATTAGAAACTAGTAAATGGAAACTCGTCGCAATTGATCGTCGATGGATCGAGTGGAATTTTTTTTTTTTTTTAACCAACACCTCAAATATCAAATTATCTCGATAACGAAATATTCAATC